AAGATGACACCATTGATGGCACGAGCTCTAAATGGGGGTTTGATCAAGGAAGTTTTTTTCACAATCCTTGCCCGTTAGATAAACAGTCTGGCCTTTGAAGTCTGGAGTGGCTGCTCAAAGTACATGATTTCCAAAATTTTGCCTTTTTTTTTTTTTTTTTGGTCTCCTGGCAACATAACATATTTATACTTTGCCCCACCCCCCCATCCAGAAAGTTCTGCTGCTGTTTTAAAGTGTAAAACAACAAATGGGACTGTTGTCTCAGATTGAGGATTCAGGACTATTGAAGCTATCCTCCCTACCTTCTGTTTATGTAGACAGATAATAACAATTCTGAATACAAATACAACAAATAAAGAGAGCCCTTCTCTTGGCAGATTGGTGAGCATGCCTCTTTAGTTATAAAAATAGCGCTCCTGGAGTTCTCCAGTTCTAATGTCAATTTCATGAAGCCTTTTTCACAGTTTAGCAAAGACAACTTGGGTGGGGGTTGTTGGTAGGGGTGTGGTAGAAGGGAACTGGAAATAAGCTAAAGCAAAAGATTAGTGGTGTGAATGCCAGTCGGGACTGCAGAAACCTTTGGTCCTTCCATCTGAAATCTGACACCAAGCTAGCCCGTGGTCTCTATGGGCTCCTCCAGTAGAAACTCATAGCATAACTGGGCACTTGGCTGAGCTCCCAGGGGCTGCCTCTGAAATGTTCCCAATTCACAGCGGTCAGCTTCCCCTGTCCCTGCCCTTTGCCTTTCCAACCCTCTATCCTACATTGAGGCAACCTGGAGTAGATCTAGATATGGTTTGAATTTCACAGGTCGTTAAAGTGCTTCTCATTGATAGCATTGATATAAAGGACACCTTCAGATTTCTCAACCTCAGCACTATTGACCTATTGAGCTGGAAGATTCTTTGTTGTGGGAGACTCGCCTGTGCCTTATAAGATGTTTAGCGGTGTCCTTGGCTTCTACCCACTAGATGCCAGTAAACCACCCTCCCGTCCCAGTGTGGCAATCAGAAATGTCCCTCGACATTGCTAAATGTCCCCTAGGGGCAAAATCATTCCCAGCTGAGAACCACCCAGTTATAGCAAAGAAAACTAACATTTATTTGTCATCTCTGATGTGCCAGATGTCTTTTAGAGGTTTCATGTAATCCTGACAATTCTCTTTTCATAGATTAGGAACCTGAGGGATGGCAGGGATAAGTGTTGCTATTGTTTTCTTTTGTTCTGGGTTGCTCTCCGCACCCACTCCACCCCAGTACTTAACAATGAAAATGCTTTGTAAAACCAGGGAAGTTATCTTATATCTAGAAGAAACAGAAAATGTTATTTTTAATATTTTTATTCTATACTCTATATTTTAGACATTATTTATTCTTTGTATCTTAGACATTCTCTAAATTACAAACACTTAGCTTGAAAATTTGCCACATGTATGAAAAACTAAAAAATCACTATTGGAGGGGCACCTGGGTGGCTCAGTCAGTTAAGCATCCCACTCTTGGTTTCATTCAGGTCATGATCTTGGGGTCATGGGATTGAGTCCCACGCAGGGCTCTATGTTCAGCGAGGAGTCTGCTTGAAGATTCTCTCCCTCTGTCTCTCCCCCTACTTACTGTTTCTCTCAAATAAATAAATCTTTAAAAAAAAATAATAATCACACGGTACCCGATGGGTCCATCAGTTGAGTGTCCAACTCTTGGTTTTGGCTCAGGTCATTGATCTTGGGGTTGTGGAATCAAGCCCTGCCCTGGGCTCCATACTCAGCTCAGAATCTGCTTGAGATTCTCTCCCTCTCCCTCTGCCCCTCCCCCCACCAAATAAATAAATACAATCTTTGGAAAAAAAAATCACTACTGGATATTGACTAACCCACCTAAATTAAGGTCACCTACCCTCTTAACCCTGGAAAGTGACCAGAGTGTCTTGGGTTTGTCATTTCTTCTGGTTTCTTGAATGATAAGCTGATCTAAAATCTTGCATGCACTTCTGTTATCACCTTCCTGGCTTACACTCTGAATAGTCTATTTTTCCCTGATAACCTGCATTTCTTATACCGTCTCTTTTCTCTGTTTATCTTTGTCTTCCCAAAGACCTCAAGAAAATATCCCTCAGTCCCATTTGAAAGGGGAAGAAAGAAATCATATTTAATGTGTCAAAAAAGTGCTATCCCTGTAACAGGGACATACTGTTGTTTAGTATTAAAAAACTTATAGGTGCTTAGAAAGGCATTGAAATTGGCTTGCAGAATTTCCGTCTCCTCCTCCTTTTCAAACCCCAGTTGTTTTTTGCTTACCTGAAATTAACATCAGTGACTGACATTTTTCTATTGTAAGTATATCTTAGTGGCACTATATACTAATATGGGCTAGACTTGGAAAGCTAGTAATCAAATACGCCATTGTCAGAAACATTGAAGGCCAAGTGTAATTTTCCAAAAATTTCAGTATGTTTATCGTAAATAAATGTACCGTGAATGTGTTAAAGATGTTTTAGTTTATTGAGGAAACTGGCAGGATGGTAAAACCAGTTTTAAAAGATTATGGGAGAGACCTAAGCGTTTATAGTCATTGAAAAAAAGATACAGGGCTAAGATTGTTAAATTAGATACAGAACTGTTAACTACTGCACCAGGCAATAAAACAGTTTATGGTGTGGGGGGAGAGGAGGTTATCTTTTATACAAGATGGAAATCATTAGCATTTTTACCGGATGAATTTGTTTCTGCTGGTCAAATCATCAAATCCATTGGCATTTCTATCAAGTTTTTACAAATTAGTATCTACTCTTACACATATATAAAATATCCTAATCTAAAGTAAATAGTGAGTTAAACAAAGGTTTCTAATTTCCCTAGAAAATTGGATAACCCTTGGTTGCCTGTTAGACACTTAATACTTTTGGGGGATCAGAAAAATAATAGAAACCTATCATGAAAAGTTTGAAAATACTTATTTATTTATTTATTTATTTTTTTGAGGGAGAGAGAATGTGTGTGTATGTGTGTGTGTGCGCACAAGCGAGGGGAGAGGCAGAGGTAGGGAGAGAGAGAATCTTAAGCAAACTCCCCACTGAACGCAGAGCCTGACACAGGGCTTGATCTCAGGACCCTAAGATCATGATCTGAGCTGAAATCAAGATGCGGACACCTAATCAACTGAGCCACCCGGGTACCCCAAAATACTAAATTTTTTTAAAGGAGAGAAAAAAACCTGCCCTCAACCCACTACCCAGTTGCAACCACTATAAATAGAATTCATGTTTCCTTACAAGTTTCTCTCTAAATAATTTTAACAGTGGAGTCATTACTATAGAAAAAAAAATGGTAGGCTATTCTTTTTCTTTTACTTATTCTCATATATCCTATGTATTTTGTTACAAATGAAAGTGTCCTATAAACATTTTAATGTCTATATAATGATTTGGCATTTTTGCCTCATTGTTTCCACTGTTTTTTCTAATCCTAAAATTATTTCTTTATTATGAATAAATAATTCATTTATTATGAAATTTTCAGTTACAAAAAATACATAGAAAATAATATAGTGGCCAGTGGTGGAAGTACAACATAGTGTAAGAAATAAAATATCACTAATAGAGTTTCCCCAACCTTCAGTAATTCTTCCAGATGGACTCCTTTCCTGGTGTAACACTCTCCTGCATTTACTACTTTTTCACATTTATTTCTATACTTTCACTACCTATAAAGCATATAGTATTTTCGAGTATTTTCCAGCTTTATACAAATCATATCATAGGTTCTCAAGGTATAAAGGTCCTACAACTTGCTTTTCCCTACTGACATGCTTGCTTTGATTTAATCCATGCAGTTACTCATAAACCATTTACTCTCCTTGTTGTAGGGTCTCAGACCTTGTTTATCCACTTTCCTGTTGCTACATGTTGGATTTGTTAGCAGGTTTTTACTAACATCTCCAATGTTGCTAGCGACGTTCTGTGCCTACTCTGCCTCCCTGTGTGCCTGTGTGAGGGACAGGAGGGCCCCCAACAGGCACTGTCACTAACAACTTTGCTGCCCTCACCTTTCGCAAAATCACGAACATGACTGTCCCGATTTATACTCCCACCCACAAAGTCTGAGAGTCTGGTTACTCTGCTTCAGGGGCTGGCAAAACTTTTCCGTGAAGGAGTAGCCCAGAAATATTTCAGCCTTGGTAAGCTACATGGTCTCTCTCATAACCTCAACTCTGCACCTGTCAAGAGAAAGCAGCCATCAGTCATCCTTTTAGCTAGCAAGTTACGAGTAATGGGTAGCTGGTTAGATATGGCCTCAGGCTAGAGTGTGCCAACCCCTGCTTGACGTCCTCACCAAGGTCTGGTATTTCAAATACCTTAAATGTTTCTACCCGAATGGGTGTGAATGGTAAATTGAGATTTTCATTTGTATTCCCAACCAGCAGCAAAGCATTTTTCGTTTCTTGGCCACTTAGGTTTTTCTCTTCTGTGGTTTATTTATTCCTTTTTCTTTTCCTTATTCTCTCATTTTGTGGGTCTTTTCTTTATTGGCTTTTAGGAGCTCTTTCTGTCTTCTGGATAGTAATCCTTTGTTACATGCTTTGCAAACATGTTCTTAGAGTATAGTGGTTTTTGTTCCATTTTTTAAAAAGTCATCTTTGGATGAAAAAACGTTTTCAGTTAAAATAAAATTAAATTTATCCAAGCAATATTTTTTTGGCTTTCTGGGGGGAAAAAATGTTTTTGTCATGCACGCGGAGAATGTGAAAGGTGACCACAAAATAAAGATATCGCCTTCTCGTATGCGAGGGAGGAAATATTTTCTCCCATCGGATGTGAGCACAGGAATGTTCTCACTTGTGTTCCAGACTTTTTTTTTCACAGTCTAGTAGTTTTCTTGAACACTGACAGCTTGTCCAGTTGTGCAATCTGTTGTATAGTAAAGAAAGTATCCCGAAGCACCGCTGTAGCCATTGTCGCCCCAAGGCAGGCATCTGACATTGATGAAACGTTTGTCGGTTTCACAAGTTTGCAGGCTTTGCTCTTGCAAGCCAGCTGACGTAGCTGGAAGGAGAAAGAGACCCTCCCACTTGCGTTTGTTAATTGACTTTGATGAGCTTGTCTGCGATGCCTAAATGGTTCCAGAACAGAGAGAGCCGTTATAATCTGAAGAACTTTTTAGAAAGTCACACTGGCTGGCTAAAACTGCGCGCACCTCCAGCCAGCAAGGAAAAGGAAAGCAGTTGATTGATATGCCGGTCAGCAAAGCCACCCTTGGCTGCCTTGAGCTTTTTAACTGAGTTCTTGCCCCTGGGAAGCACATTCTTGCTCTCTGGAGAGCTGGGTGCACTTGGAACGGGGCTGGCATGCTTGACAGACGCTTCATGTCTCCTCAGACTAAGTACATCATTCCTGGGGTAAGCAGGCGGGCAGGGAGGCAGGCCAGATGCACGGTGTGGTTTAAAGAGAACAGGAATGTCCTTTATTGTTAGCGAGCTCAAGCTCAATCACATTCGTCGCTTCACTTTTTTAAAAGTTTTGTTTATCATGCCAGAAATGTCATTTGCAGTGCGATTATGTAAATGTTCCGGGGCGGTTTAAGCAAGGAGAGCTGTAACTCTGGTTTTAAACTGTATGTAATTGAGATCAGTATAGTAGCTTGTGGCAGAGAGAGGGAGAGACTGGGAGACACTGGAAAATGGAAATGCTTTCTCCAGCTGTGGACAGTGGGTCCCTTACGCATGACACTGACAGTCTAGACACTTGCTGCTTGCTTTCTTTTCTTTTCTTTTTTTTTTTTTCCAGAAGCCTTTCTATGTAAATCAAGATGATTTGACTTTCTGCATGGATGCAAATTCAGATTTCTTTGCTTGTTTGTCATTTCAAAAATTTGTGAATTTAATGAAATACAGAAATGGGAGTCTAATGTTTAAAAAAAAGTAAGCATAGAGCTTTACCAGACAAAAACTGAATGTTTGGGTCTTTCAATTTGGAATGGATCTTTGAAAGTAAAGATCACATCATTATGGGGCTTCGAGGGAAGTTTTCAGAAAAAACAATCATCGCGCTAGAACCCAAATGTAAGCTAGAGCCTATAAAAAGAAAAATCCTGAGGTTACAAAGGTCTGTGCTAGTAGGACATGAAAATACCTTTTTAAATTCAATAAAGTACAGCTTGCCTAGAAATTCTTTCCAAGGTACCTCTTCTGTTTCCGGCTCCAATACACACTAAGTTCATCTAACAAAAAAAGAAAGAAAGAAGAGAGAGAGAGAGAGAGAGAGAGAAAAGGAAAAATCCTTACTGAGAAATACCTACCTGTGTGTGGTAATCACTTGTTCCATCTTATATCAGATGAAGGCATTAGCACAATCAGGCAACTGTGAGATGAGTCGCTTAATCTAGGTGCTTTTAATTATCTTTTGTTACATTTCATCTAGAATTTTCTAAGCACACCCTTTTCCTTGCTTGTGCTTGCCCGCGTTAAGTGTTGTGTACCACGGTTCTATTTCCTAAGACTCTGGCATGGCTGGCTATGTGCACACTAATTCTAAAGCTATCGCTCGCCTGTATTTTAGAAATTATTCAATACCTGTTTGTTCTCAGAGGCCTCTAGAATCATCCTTTCCCGTAAACTTGCCTGCTTTCTAAGAATGTGATCGCACACAAAATAGCTGTTATGGTTGTTTCTGCAGAGGAATTCTCTTATGAATTGGGAAAATGTATAATTCTGTCCCCCAAATTGCTAAGTATCCTGAATTGCCCAACACATTCCAGTGGTCATTTTGAATATTTTCAGCAGTGAAATAAGGCACCAAAATGTCACAGTTATTTAATTGGGATGTCAATCTAGATGACTTCAGAATAGTGGAGTGGTTTATCGTAGAGTTAATTTCGGTTCTGTGAAGAATGATTGGGGAATCCACACAGGGACGTTTTTAAACTACTTTCTCTCCCCCAGTCCTAGCTCTTTGTTTCCTGTGACCTAATCATTTCTCATTTTAACTAATACCGGTTTTTGAATAGGCTGGTAAACACGTGGATTTTTGCTTTAATGGTTAAAGCAAATGATGACAGAAGCTAGTTTTTCAATTTGGACTATAATATAAAGGAAGATAATTTTAAAATCCATATATGTCTGTGTATACATTCATGTGTGTGTCTATATATATTGTGGAATAACTTTTTAGGAGGCTGAAGAAGGCACATGGCCCTTATTTTTGTTCTAACCAAGTATGTTTTCAGCTTTTCTAGCAGTTGTACTCCTTTAAAATCCCTGCAAATCCCAAACTCACAAAAACACATCTAGAAACCATACATTTAATTCTTATGAAGGTGAAATTAATAAACTAGTAAAAATTGATACTGATAATTACTTTTTCACTATCAAGGGAAAAAAAAAAAAAGACTCCGACTAGCGTTAAGTGCATTTGTTATCTTTTTATGAATGCTGGTATTGTTGCATTAAGTTTCTTGAACTTGAATATTCTTTATGACTGAAATCGTGTGCCCAACAAAAATGACCTGTCAGACTCATGTAGGCTTTTTTGTTTAGTTAACACATTACCCACAATTTCAGTTTTTCTGGCTGTGGTTAAGAGCAAGTGTTTGGATCTGGTCAAACTTGACTTTGACTATTAGGCCATTCCCTTAATAATAACTGTACGATTGGCAAATTTTGATCATATCTGAATTATAAAATTAAGAATACTAATATCTGCATTTCCAGTATTTGTGAGAATTTTTCTTAAAAATCACAATGCATAAAGACTGTTTAGCACAGTGCCCAAGTTATTGAGGGAATGCACTTGCCTATCTACATTTTCTACTCTGCCTAATAATGAAAGAACTTAGCTCAGAGATCCCAGACCATGATCTCTAGAAGAGGCAGCAGGGGAAATTTGTGAGCTGTTTTTGATTTGCATATTGGAAGAAAGAGAGATTAAAATAAATAACGGTCCTGCAAAGTGGGACTCCTAAGTGGTTGTCTGCGGACCTGGGATCAGAGGGCCGGGAGAAGGCAAGTGCAAACTCACCAGAAACAATATGCAAATATTTGAGTCTATGTATACATTCTCATTTTCTAGCTTCCACAGATTCTCACTGTGGCCCTCAACTCCCAAAGGGTAAAGCACCAGAGCTCCTGAATGACGTCCAGCCCGAAAGAACAAAAAAAAAATCAAAAGATGAAGGAGGTTAAATATTCTAAAAAGTCTAGTAATTTTTGAATTATTATTGCTTCTTTCTCTTAACCTTTCTATTGCTAAAGCAGTTGGGAAGGGGAAAAAAGAAGAGGACATTGACGGGAGCCGTGTATTCTGCAGGGGAGGAGAACTTTCCCTTTCTTCCCTTCTGGGTTCTTTGGCTGGTCTCATAATTAAATTGACATGAAACAGATGAACAGGAAAAAAACAAATTTAATTGTGTACATACGGGAACCCATAAAAATATGAGACTCAAAGAAATGTCCAAAGCAGGCGGCTGTTTCAGAAAAAGAAACAATACATTTTTGGAGAATTGACAAAGCAGGGGTTCAGGCTTGAAGTCGCAAATTAGTGAAGATGTAACAAAGTTTGTTCATACAGCATTTTTGGCCTTGAATTCCCCCTCTCTGGGGGTAAAGACGTTTTCTACCCTCCTGGTACAGGGAGGGTGTCTTCAAATGGGAGATTTATTTTCTGCTCTCAGGGGGACAAAGGAGGTTCAGAGTGTCCTTGCACCAGCTGTTTCTTGAGTAACTTTAATTCAAAATAATGAGTATTTTGAATTAAAATACTCATTATTTTGAATTAAAATTCAAAATTTCAAAAAAGTGGCATATTTTGGGGTGGCATATTCTGCTCTGCAGGCCTGCCTATGGAATCCCCAAGGAGTTTCCTAATTCAGAAGTGGGGTTGGTAGATTGCTCTAATATTTTGCTGAATTGGTCTTCTTAGTCTTGAAAATAAATCAATTAAAAAAATTTTAATTGAGGTATAGATGACATACATAGTTTCAGGTCAGCATAGTGATTGGACATTTACATACACTGTGAAGTGCTCCCCATCGTAAGTCTAGTTCCATCTGTCACCATGCAAAGTTGTGACAATATCATTGACTGTGTTCCCTGTGCTGTGCTCCACATCTCAATGACGTATTTATTTTAGAACTATAAGTTTGTACCTCTTAATCGCCTTCATCTATTTTGACCATCGCCCCACCCCTCTCTGCTCTGGCAACCACCCGTTTGCTCTGTGTATCCATGAGTCTGTCTCTGGTTTTGTTGGTTTATTTATTTTGGTTTTTAGATTCCACATATAAGTGAAATAATACAGTATTTGTCTTTCTCCGTCTGACTTATTTCCCTTAACATAATACTCCGGAGGTCCATCCATGTTGCTGCGAATGACAAGGTTTTGTTTTCATGGCTTTTTCTAAACAAGTGTTTATACACACATGCACACAAACTCACCGTATCTTTAGCCATTCATCTATTGATGGACACACTTAGCTTACTTCCATATCTTGGCTACTGGAAATAAAACTACCATGAACATAGGGGTGAATATATCTTTCTCAGTTAGTGTTTTCGTTTGGGGGGGGGGGTAAATACTACAAAAGTAGAATCACTGGATTGTATGGTATTTCTATTTTTAATTTTTTGAGGACCATCCTGCTGTTTTCCATAGTGGATGTACCAATTTACATTCCCACCAACAGTGCTCGAGGGTTCTCTTTTCCCCACATCCTTGCCAACACTTATTCTTTCTTTGAACTACTCGCCATGTTGACAGGTGTGAGGTGATCTCTCATTGTGGTTTTAATTTGCATTTACCTGATGATTAGTGATGGTGAGCATCTTTCCATGTGTCTGCCGTCTGTATGTCTACTTTGGAAAAATGTCTATTCAGGTCCTCTGTCCATTTTTAAATCAGATTGTTTTAGGGTATGATTTAGAGTTGTATGATTTTTAAAAGATATTTGGGTTATTAACACCTTATCAGGTATATCATTCACAAATATCTTCCTGGTCAGTATTTGCTCTTTCCTTTTGTTGATGGTTTCACAATTAGGTATTTAGAAAGAGGCATTTTATAACTCTTTATAACTCTTATAAAAATAAGAGTTAATGATTAGAGCAAATTATAAACCTAGTCAGAGTTCTACAGGTCATCAGTTAAGACTTATAGATTGAACTCAAAGCATTTTCAGATAGAATGAGGACAGGCAGTAGCAATCGGACAGATTTCCTAGTTTGCAGTTGGGATGTCTCTGGTGATCTTCATGAGTGGCCACACACAATAGGCATGAAGATGGTTTATACAAGAGCTGTTGTGGTGATTTCCCTGAAGTTCATATCAAGTTGTCCAACTTTAGTTTGCATAGCTTTAGAAAAAGAGCAGTTTTAGTTCTCAGTGATTCCAAGTCACAGGGTGGGAG